ATAGATAGATAGATAGATAGATAGATAGATAGATAGATAGATAGATAGATAGATAGATAGATAGATAGATTTTATAGATTTGGCTGCTCAGCTTGGAACAAAAACAAATGAGGCGTCCAGACCTCGTGGCTTGGGAAACGCTTGAAAGATAGTGAATGCACAGATGTTTGAGCAAGGTTTCTGATATTTATTTCTCAGTCTCTGTTGACTTTTCAAGGAAACCTTCATCTGCCAGGTGACAGTTGAAATGCCAATCTTTTGGCCTGATTCTGCAGCTGCCTGAGACCTGCAGCATAAGCCAGGAAAGGAGAGATGGTGTTCTGTCTCCCCTCTGGGCAACTTTGGCATTCTGGTTTCACCCCTCTGAGCACTAAGGTTCAGTGTCTATTAAATCAAGATAACAGGAGTTTTTCTCTCCTCCTCCTCCTCCTCCAGCCCTGGGTGGAAGAATTACTTCATGTTTGGGCAAAGGGGGGAGATCCTCTGAAGGCACAAAGCCCTCTGTTAATATAGTGTGTTATTCTTTGGGGTGGGGCTGAAATAAGAGAAGCAGGAGCAGACAGCAAGAAATCAGGCAAAGAAAGTCACTGGCTTCCCAAAATCCAGTAATGTCACATTAACGTGTATTAGCTTCAACCAGGGAAGGTTGGTAACCTGATTATCCTTCAGATGGGTTGAGGTTACCAGAAGCCCCTGCTGTAGTTGCCAAGGGTTAGGGATAATGCATAATTAGGGAGGTGCAGACCAAAACGTTGTGAGGGACGGGTTGCTTACCTCTGGCCAGTGGCTTGATGGAAATACAGTGGTACCTCTAGTTACGAACGCCCCTCCTTACGAATTTTTCAAGATACGACCAGCTCCGGCCCCAAAAATTTACCTCGACATGCAAACCCCGCCTCTACTGACGGACTGGATCCGCAGCCATTTTCCCTGCTGCCACGCGGTCGCGGCTTCCTGTGGGAGAGATCACGGTAGCAAGGAGACATTCGGTGAGGCTTGTGGTGTGTTTTGTGGCATTTGGAAGGTTTTT